CAAAGCCACAAGCCCTTAATCACTTAGATTCTGACTTAGATTAATCATTACAGAAGTCCCACTTCATCAACCTAGGGTCCACAAACCCATAACAGCCTTCTGTATGAACAGTACATCTATTGTTCTTCGAAAACCCAGAATATCTGGATATATGTCGGGGGCATATCCGGATATCTATATCTGGATATCACAGAGCCCATATGTGGATATCAATATCCAGATATCAATATCTGGATATTTCGCGATAGAATGCAGTTTCTGCATTTCGCGAGATATCACTTCCAAGGTTCCATTTTTAACACTTCTAAACGTTAAATCATTCATTTTTACTCTCTTTTAAGTTCATATACTGATTGGTTACTTGTTTAACCCTTTAAACATGGCAAGACTCCACTTTTACCCATTAAAACTCAAGATCAAAGGTTGGTAACACTTACCCAAGGTTCAAACAGAGTAACAATGGCTCTTGGAGCTCACCACACTGCCTCTGCAGTTCTGACTTGAAGGAAAACAAAAATGGCACACCAAAGGTTGGTTCTTTCTCTTTAAAGATCACACCTTGAAGCTCAAAATGCTACCTCAAAGGCTCTCACAACTCCAATCACGAAGTCAGAAACTTTCTCACTCACTACACCCTCACAACTCAGAAATGGCTGGACTTTTACCCACCCATGGCTAGAGCACACTCTTATAAGCAACTTTGGTGAAGGAACTAAGTGGAAAGGTGCTCTCTTGGAGCTACAATGGAGGGGAGAAGATGGGAGAGGGTGGCTGGTCACAAAACTCAGGAAACTCACGTAGAAGAGAGGTAGGCTGACCTAGGATCATGTGCCAAGGCTATTTATAGGCCAATTAAGTCTTAATCGCACTGTATTAGCGCTAATTGCTACGCTTAGCAATTTGATCCCAAACTATGGATTCTGAACCTACTCATATTTCTAAGATTTTTCATATTTTTATATTATTTTTCGCAGCACCTTTCCGATACGCGCTTTCCATAGCCAGTATTAGTTATGGCACCAGTTCTTATTATTTTGACTTGAAACTTTTTTTACAAGTCCTACATATTATTCTAGGAATATTCCCACACTTATTATAATTTTCTGGGTTACTTCATCGGTACGCATTTATACCGAGTAGCCGAACCGGTATCTGCACTTTTCGTCAGAAAAGAGACTTTCAGCATTATTAATTACTTACCATAATTATTTAAGCCTTATCATAATTATTAGGGTCAATTATGGAATTATTTTCTAATTTCTCATAATTAATTAATTAACTTCCTTAATTAACGGTGCAGGTTCTTATAGGGAGCCATTTTGTTGACACTTGTGGCTTCAAGAAGCCACCTTATGGGTAAAGGACCAAGTTTGAGAATTCATTTTCGTGGTCTTGTGAAGTCAGAATCATAAAGCTGTGTAGGAAGCTCCAAGATCACTCTTTTACTCTGTTTTGAGTCTTTGGGTAAGCACCTCTACCTTTGCTCTTGATTTTCTGTAGAAAGAATGAACCTTGATGCATGTAATAAGTGGAAGTTGATAACTTAAGGGTTGATAAGGTATAACACACCTAAAAACATATGCTTGAATGTCTAGAATCATTAAAAATGATGTCTTGGAGGGATATCTTCGCGAAATACAAAATTTGCATTCTGTCGCGAAATATCCGGATATGATATCCGGATATTGATATCCAGTTATGATATCCGGATATGGGGTTTGTGATATCCGGATATTCCCTCGAGGAATATCCGGATATTCTGAGAAATTTCGTGTATTGAGTTGTTCTGTTCAAACAGAAGCGTGGGTTTGGTTTATGGACCCTATATTGGTTAAAAGAAACCTCTGTAATAAGTTAACTAAGTCAGAAATACTTAGGTTGAAGGCTTATGGCTTTGAGAGAAGCCTAGGGGCATTAAACGAAAAAGGAAACGTTATCGTAATGTTATGAACTTCTAGATGATGTATATTGATAATATTTCTGGTCTAAACAGACTGTGATTGTGTTGTTTGGTGACCGTGGACTGGTGCGAACTCCTTGTTGGATTGTTAGCTTGCGAGGTAAGCTTTTTTGTCTTCGGTTTTGCTCATTGTTGGTTCCACTATACCTCATGGAGGGATGGTTATATGCATAATGTGTTTTCTGAAAATATGTGATGATTATTGATATGCTATTGAGCTGATTCTGAATGCAATTGCCATATGATATGTATGTGGTGTTCTACCTAGACGGTAATCCCTGAGTATGTGGAGACATACAAGATGGTAACTCCGTGGGTGAGGTACAAGCGAGGAGCCTTGTACTGTAGGTTGTAGACGTATGTAATCCCTACTTTTATTCAATGGCTAGTAGGATGCACATACACACATGACATAGACATATGTTGCATTGCATGGATATTTGATGTTAAACCATTACTATGCTTTTGAACTTATATTGCACATGTAAGTGAGCTTGGGGTGGAGAGATCCTCGAGGACCCCTCGTCTTACTGAGATTTCTTTTTAGAGATCTTACCCCGTGTGGGGCACATTTTCAGGTACAGTTACCTCTGAGGTTAGGACCTCTGGTGGCAGGAGGCTGGAGTTGAGCTGATATATGCATGTCTACCTGTTATCGCATTTGGATTTATGTTGCCTTGTTATCTCTTATATGGCTATTGTATCTGAGACTTCCTGTGATGTTCTATTTGGTGAGCATGTGGGTTGTCCATGCCATATTGGTATTAGTTATGCTATTTCAGACTTTAGTTGTACTTATGTATCAGGATATGGTTCGGTCTACGTGTTGTAGTTCGGTGACTCGATACTATTTATGATATGAGGATATTCAATATAGTTATTATTGCAATTTACATAAAGGCTATATTTTGAAAAGAAATAAGTAAATCCACTTGGTTAATAATGAATGATTCATAATTGGAAAGAAAAGTTAGCTTCTGCATTTATTTAGCTGCACTATTTCCATATGTATATTAAATACACTGGATGCACACGAGGTGTTACAAAGTGCAGAAGCTGAATTTTGAGGCATGACTTAAGGAGTATGTGAGCTATTGTGAGTCAACAGCGTATTAAAAGACTTGGGAATTTGTTATGACAAACTAATGAATCTCCACTGTGATAACAAGGCTGTCATTGAAATAGAAAATAATCCTGTGCAATATGACCGAACCAAACATGTGGAGATTGACTGACATTTTATCATGGAGAAGCTAGATCAAAAAATTATACAGTTCCCATTTGTTAAGTCTGAAGATCAATTAGCTGATATACTTACTAAAGCTGTTTCTAGAAGAGTTTTCCAAGGTGCAATTGACAAGTTGAACATGATTGACATCTATACTCCAACTTGAGGGGAAATGTCGACTTGTATATTTTTTTATAATTGGAAAGATTTAATTTCTGATTTGATTGACCAATTTATGTAGCAATTAAAGAGAATCCGTTACATGGAGAGATTATAGGAATTATGTGAAGAGATTTTATGAGTTTTTAATTTCTTAATTATTTATAATTTTCTTCCTTGATTTATGGCTAATTTGTAACTTAACTTATGACTGATTTGCAACTCTAATATTTTGTATATAATAACCTCTACTGAGGTAGAAGAAATACAAATGAATTGCTATTCTATAGAGTTCCTTGATTTGTAACAAAAATCATGCACAATATTTCGGTGACCCTACCATTGTCTTATACCATGCTGAACGGGTAAAATTATAATGGGTTATATTTATCTACTTTTACATAAGATAACTACATTTCCTACACACACAAAAGCTAGGTGGGTCCCATTTCTTTTTTTCTCTCTCTCCTCTTACCTATGGGTCCCACTTGTAATCTTGTTTCTACAACATAAGATAAGCATTTTCCTACAACATAAGAAAATTATTTCCCAATTATAATATTAGTTGTTAAAATCTACCGTCGGACCAATTATAGTTATGCAAGTGTTGAGTGATGTATGGACAAGTTATATGCGTAAAACATAATTCATAGACTAGAAATATAATAAATTTATCACAGATGGTAGTTAGGCTTCACTCTAGCATACAACATTAGGACGGACCTCTTAGGTCTTTGAAGTCTTCTTAATTAATAAGACTAGAATATACGTAAAATAAAAGAAACCATGATTTTTATTTTATTTTCGCATGTAGCTGTCTGATAATGATCGTATATAGTATACGAATTCAAGGGACTATGTTCACACGCAATAGCGTACTTAGAATTTTTTTTTAATGTCTGCACACTTAGAATAAAAGAATAAAAGAAAAAAAATTTAAAGAAAATTTTAAATATATTAAAATACAAAAGAATATAAACAAAAAAAGAAAAAAAAAGAAAAGAAAAAACCTTTTACTTAATATAAAAAAAGTAATCAAGAATCTACTAAATTGTTATAATAAAATATTTTGGATTCTCAACAAAAATTAGGGCCTCAATTTAATCTCTTAGAAAAAAAAGTCTACTTGTAATCTCTCAGAATTTAAAAATAGACCCAGATAATCAAAATCATGATCCTCTGAAATTCAAAAAGATCCACATTAATCCCTTAAAAGGACTAACATGGGTCTATTTTGGAATTTAAAGGGATCACAGAGTCAACTTTTTAAAGAGATTAAATTGGGTATTGTAACCTTTGTTGATGACCCAAAATATATTTTATTCTTTTTTCCCACAAATTTTGTGTGTGCACTTACACACATGTTCGCCACTGTTCACACGTAATGCCACAAGAATCATGCCAACTGGCCAATTCTTTAAATACAATTTGAAACTGATCTGATTTAATTTATAACAGCAATTTGAAACGATAATCTCGCTAATTAACTATGTGGACAATATTGTAATATATAAAAGTTGACAAAATGAACTCTATCCCTTCGCCATTGTTTGTCTATATAAATTTGAGAGGTTTCGCTTATGATTTCAACTCTCAAACATTCTATTTTAGAAAGCATTCGTGTATTTCTGCTTCTTAATTCTTAGAGCTATTATGGCATGCATTTCACAGCTGCCGGATGCTGCTAAAAGGTATGAACTAGGAACCAATATGCAGCTCTAGCTTCTGCAGTATGTTTCGGGTCATATCCATAACTCCGCCTCTTTCTGTTTGTTTTAAGATCTACATTTTAATTAGAAATAAATTTCTGCTTGATTTTGTTTATAATCCTACTAATAATGAGAACAAAAATTATGTGGGCTCACTTTAGATTCTGAATAAACAAACTCTGGAATCACAATTAATTTAATTTTTTTAAGTGTATATTATGTCTAATTTAATTGGTTCTCCAAAAACATGTCACATTTAATTTTGTGACATCACTTTCGTCCTTTTAATGATCAATTTCTATAGGATAATTATGAGACGGGGCAGGATCAGTAGTTCAATACTGACAAACGGACAAAAATAATGTCAAATATCATTAATGATATATATAAATGTACATTTATTTATTTTTATTTAAAAAAATTCAACACAAGGCAAAATCATCCTATGCATATAAAATTCTCAAATCAATTTTCATAAAGTTAAATTTTCAAAGTATTTTCATAAATAAAATTATCCAACACTCACATGTTTTCTTAAGAACGATGTAACATTGCATCAGGAGATACGTCAAAGTGAGATATTTTTCAAAATTAAATTTTTCTTGTAAATAATTCATATGTTTGAGGTGTAAAGGAGATATTTAAAAAAATATGCATAGTTTGCACAATTAACTTAATATAATCATTTTTAAATGGATGAATGAGGGGAGGAGTGAGATTAAGTTTTCACCTAGAACTAAACTCATGTTGATATATAATTTCAAAGACCAACTTTCAAAATAAAAAGGTTTTTCTAATTTTGCCAATTTTAATGAAATTGGTGGAGACTCCAGATTTTGATTTTTGAAAAATTTTTAGGGTCGTTACAAGTAGTCTAGAGTTAGATTCGTATTGTTCCTATGTGTATTCGCCTGTTAACTTTAAGCTTACGGGAGAGTTGGATCATGACATAGACTCGAAGCCTTTATGAGCAAGTGAGCTAGAGTTCAATTATGCCGCTCTCATTCTTCTAATTAAAAAAATGGGAAATATGTTTCTTGTGCACGTACAAAAAATGCAGGGAATTCATTTTTTTCTTTTTCTCTTCTTCTTAGTGGGTCTCATCCACTTTTTTGTCCATTGCATGAGACAAATTATCTCATTCAACATGAGAAACATATTTTTCTAAAAAGAATTTGTATTTTAGTACAAGTTAGGTAAGTCTGTGTATTGTTCATATTTTATGCAAAAATTACTTTTGCTTGAAGGACATATTAAAGATTTGAGATAGGTTATATTTATAAAATTTTTGTTTACGAACTACACTATATAGTATATATTATGGGTAGTACATACTCAAGTAATATGTACTACCCGTAGTACATATATAGTGTGTATTACTCGTAGTACATATATTGTGTAGTTTGAAAAAAAATATTTGTAAATGTAACCCTGCTATAAAGATATAATGTAAAATAAATATATTTCATAGCACCAAAATCGATAATCCAAGAAGATAAGAAGAGAAGTATATACCTGTTTAGCAAGGAGTGATTACGAGGAGGATTAAAACACAAAACACTACTTACAAAACAATTGATTTGATAATTATTGTTGCAATTAATTTTGGCGCACCCAAAACTATTTTTGAAGGGAAAAGATTGAAATTTTCTAATGACTTTCAATCAAGAGACATGCAATTGCAGGTAATTTTGTTTTTGAATTGTTTTGCACAATTTTATGCAGGCTACAAGGAAAGGTGGCTATGATCACCGGTGGGGCTAGGGGCCTTGGTGAGTGCATGGCAAGGCTTTTCTGCCAACATGGGGCAAAGGTGGTGATTGCAGATATTCGAGATCAATTAGGTCAAGCAGTACAAGATTCAATTGGAACTGAATTAGCAACCTATGTTCATTGTGATGTAACAAAAGAAACTGATGTTGAAAATGCAGTTAACATAGCTATATACAAGTATGGAAAGCTAGACATAATGGTGAACAATGCTGTATTAATAGATGAAGCCAAACCCAGCATTCTTGACAATGATGTGACTGAATTTGAACGTGTTGTTAGTGTCAACCTTACAGGCCCCTTCTTGGGAACTAAGCATGCAGCTAAAGTGATGATCCCTGCCAAAAAGGGAAGCATAATAATGGTAGGAAGTGTTTGCTCAAGCATTGGAGGGGTTGCAACACATGCATACACAAGCTCTAAACATGCTGTGGTTGGACTCACAAAGAACACAGCTGCTGAACTTGGAAAATTTGGCATAAGAGTCAATGGTTTGTCTCCATACTTCATTTCTAATGCATTAGCAAGAGAATTCTTCAAACTAGATGATGATGGGTGCTCAAGTGTTTATTCCAATCTTAAAGGTGTTGCCTTGCAAGAAGAGGATGTAGCACAAGCTGCACTCTATTTGGCTAGTGATGAGTCCAAGTACGTAAGTGGCCATAATCTAGCTGTGGATGGTGGCTTTACTACTATCAATCCAATTTTCGGTTTGTTTTCAAAATCTTAAGTTTAAACTTTCAATTACATCTTTTACCTCCTTTTCCTATCAGTGTGCAATTGCTGTTTCTATGTAATAACCAGTTGGAGTTGCTGTGAGAAATTTTAAGACGAGATTATATGAAATTAGAACACCAACAGATTTAGACTTACTTGTTGAAAATATGATTCTTGATTTCTTGAAGGCTTCTTGTTTAAATGCTCCTGCAATGGAAAGAACATGATCATTCACACCACTCCCTGCTCACAACCATCAACGGGGCAAGTTGTGAAGTAACGATTTTCTAACACGTTGTAAATGTAGAGGGGATTTAGCCAAATTTATTAACCCTAGTCCCCTTTCTATCATGAGCCTATGGTTAGGCCTACACTGTTACGCACACTAATTAGTTTGCAAATATTCAAACCCAAATAAAAAGAATCACTAATTAACTGAACTTTATACTGCATTCCCATGACTTAGCCGATTTTTATTAAAACAAGAAAAATTACAATTGATTGAAGCCCACGATTATTATAAAAATTTGTTACAGTTCGATCTTTGTATCATCCGATTAATCGAAGTATGGAAATTATTTATTTGCTGATAGCAGTTTAATCATATCATCAAGAATAAATAATTTTTTTTAGATGCCAACCGATGTCAAAAGTCCTAAGGGACCAATTAATACGACTCAAATCCTTTGGGCGGAAAAAACAATTCTTTGCACGTGCTTGACTGGTTAAAACCCAAAACTGCGTGCTGACATTTATATATTGGAGTTTGTATCTATTATGCCACATGATATAAAATTTTTTTACATACACAATATTTTGTGGGACCCGTAATTTTTTAAGCAAAAAAAAAACAAAAAAACTAAGGCACCAAAAATGAATCTCTATAACATTACACAATCATTTTTCCTACGACATAACTCTTATAAAACCCTTATATATTAGCAGAATAGAAGTTTCAGGAAAAGACTTCATAAAACGAGGTCAACATTAATTATAAAATCTGCACATTATTTGAGTAAAAGTCAAGGTCAATAACTCATTCAATAATCAGAATTTAGGTTGCTTTTTTTTTTTCTTCTTCTTTTTGGTTAAAGAATTTTGTTTCTCTTAGTTTTGCCAATTAATCTAGAACAAATGAGATCTAGTCATAAGTGTGACAATATATATGTAGCGATTCCAGCCACTTTTTATGGAAAAATTATATATATATATATATATATATATATATATATATATATATATATATATATATATATATGGAAATGATTCGTTTACAAATTTTTTTTTATAGAAATTACACTAAGTATGACTGGTCATACACTCTTGATTGAAGTAAGTATGACCGGTCAGACGTAGTGCAGTTTGTAAACAAAATTTTTGTAAATATAACATTCTCCAGATATATATATATATATATATATTAATTATAAAATTGTTTTGAGAAATTATTAATAATATCAATATGTTATCTTTGTACCCAAAAAATGAGAAGAGAGTTATATTTACAACCTCTAACAACCAAAAATTAATCGTTGATTTTCGTCAATCTGACGGTTATAATTTATTGGTCACATTTATTAATTAATTATTAATTTTTAATAAATTATAACTGTTAGATTGACAGAAATCAACGGTTAAGATTTAATTGTTAGAGATTGTAAGCGAAAAAAGATTACAAATATAATCTCTCTCAAAAAACCAGTATATGTTAACTTAAAATATAAAGTAAAAAAAAAATTAAGAAAAATGTTAAATTGAATTTATAATATCATTGAATGATAAAAAAAAAAAATACCATCAAATATGTTGGGAAGTATCAACTTAAACACCAATTCGAGTCTAAAAGCTCTTAAACTCCTTGCTGACTCTAGGGTCTACTTGCATTTTACTGATTCTCATCTCTAATAAATTAGAATGTTTATATGTAAGAAAAATAAATAATTAATAAAAAGGATAAAAGCTTTTAAATTGATGTATCTGTCACGACCAAAAATCATATATTTTATATTAAATAAATGATAACCACATATTTTTAACTCATAAATTTAATAAATACATTAATTATTTTATTATTATTTTTATTATCTGTAGTATTACTTCTGAATAATTTGAGAGAGTTATACGAGTAACATTGTATTGTGATTTTCCTCTATTTTCAGGCTGGGAGCCTAAGCATGCGGGGAGTCTGAGATTGATACATTGTACTTCTGCCTGAGTATGACCCCATTTGAATACATATATTATTTTAGTGAAATGTGAATTTTTGAGTTATATAAATTGATTTGGATTCAAATTTTATTTCTCATTGTTACCAAATTTTTTTTTTTTTTTTTGGAAGTTCTCATTGTTACCATTTAATTTCATTAGCACACTATTTGGTAAAGTGTTATATTCGAAAATATTTCATTAGCACACTAATTGGAGTTAAGTTTAAACTCCCGTCATAAACCCGGAATTGGATCGTAACAGCGAGAGCAACACTTTAATTGGCTAATGATTAGTAAAAGGATATTAGTTGGCAAAATTTAACCATGGATAGCGTCTTGTCTGCTAAGTTTTGGTTTTATTGAACAATCTTATGCTTCAACTCATCTTCTCATTTGTATAATGTTTTAGATTTAACAAGTATGTGTTTTCATTACATCGAAAACAAAGTTCATATCAATCTGGCTCCAGCCATTTGAAGGAGGGTAAGAGAAAGCTACGGCCGATCAATGGGCTGCCAGAATAGTAGCACACTAATTTATTTTGCCAAGAACTAACATTACATTCCACTTTATTCTTAAATTGGTCACGTAGTTCTTAAAATTAAACTCCTAGAAGGAGCTACTTTACAGCTTCAATCTACAACCTGCTTACTTTTTGGGAATGGGATCTATCAGGAAATTGTAGACTCTCCCATTCCTCGTCATTGACATTCCTGAAGTATTGATCCACCATTTCTTCATTAACCAGTTCCAGCTGTGAAGGCTCCCACTAGTTAACAAAAATAAGAAATGCAAAATCATAAGTTCAAATTAAATGTTAATGCAGTTATATATATCTATATAGTGGATATATTATGGTTTACCTTTGGTTTATTATCTTTATCAAACAGCTTTGCTCTTGAACCCTATGCACCGTAGTAAGTTTGAATAAATGGTTAAATAAAGGGAATTATTAGTCACAAAACTAATCTCAATAAACTAATTCCATTGCTATATATCACCCTATAAATACAAACATTTCCAAGAAATAAAAATTCATGACAAATTTGATTAGAAAAAAATTTCATATTACCTGTTTTGTTTTCGTGACGTAATTATTATTATTGGTTTAGATTTCTCCTCCCGGTTCGGACATCATTCGCATTTTTAAATAGAGTTACCCAAAAATTTACCTCATAGAGATCGTTGCTATTAGTCCTTCTGAGGAGGTGGGAAGCAATTTTATAATCCCGATGAAGACATTGTTCAATATTTTGTACCCGGCCTTTTCTGATCTAATATAGGCACAAAAAATGATATAATTGGTAACCTTAGTTAGTAACTTGCAGAATGATATAATTAGAATTTTTTTTTCCCGCTTTATACGTACTGATTTAAGAAAAATCTTGAGGCTCGTGGGGCAAGATGAACGCAAGGAGCTTAATGCATTCGTGATCCACTTTTCTGCTCCAATTTCTAATTCATTCTCCTATAAATTATAACTGTATGGATCAATACTTTTTTGCCAAGTATTCAGCTGAATAGTAGGAGTAAATGAATAAGATAAGCAGATCTTACTTGTTATATATATATATATATATATATATATATATATATATATATATATATATATATATATATATATATATGAGGTAGTCTTTTGACACCGGTGTCAAATTTTAAATTTGACACCTCATCTGAAAGCCGTTAGATAAAAAAAGATCAACGACTTTGATTTGGTGTCACATGCTTACTTCAGATTAGGTGTTAAATTTCAAATTTGACACTAGTGTCAAAAGATCCTACCTTATATATATATATATATATATATATATATGTATGTATGTATGTATGTATGTATGTATGTATGTATTAAGTTATTTATTTATTTGCTTACCAAGGATTGAATAATTTCCTCCACCGTCCCTTTTGAGAAACATTTGTTTATTGTCTTCAATCTTTTGTGTTTGGTGAAGAGTGTTAGTCATCACACCGTATGTGTCAATTCTCTAAGTGCATAAAGTCTGGAGAGAATGATAAATAGTTTTTCAAAATTTACCTTCTAAAAGAGCTATTTTCCTTCACATTTGCTTTAACTGTGAAAGTTTCTGTAATTGTGGCAATTGTTGATACATTTGAAGAAGTAACAGCTTCTAGGGCTTTTTGCAGAGAACATAGCTTCTTTTACACAGAAAAACTAACTTAATTGAGTACTAATATTTCAAAATTAAACTACAACTAAGTTTATAACTTTATATAAAAGGTATGTTCTTTTAGACTTTGTTTTGGGAGTTGATTTTAGAAGGGGAAGGAAAGAAAAAAGGAAGGTTTTAGTAAGTCTTTCCCTTGTTTGTGAGTTTAAAAAAAGGAGGGGAAGAATTTGGGGATTTTTACTAAATCCTCCAAAACCCTCTTTCCTCATAAAATTAAAGTTCCCCCAATTTGGAGGGTTTGAGTGGAAAAATATTAAAAATTACATATCTACCCTTAGCATTAAAATGTTAAAACTACATAATTGTGAATCATTTTTAAATGCGATATTATGAGAAAAGTTTCAAATGCCGACAGAATTTATTGACGAAAAATATTTCGTCAAAAATAGTGATGACATTTTTTATGAAAATCATATCCGGCAAAAAATTTCTGTCAAAACTAAAGACAAAATTAGAGACGGAACCAGATTTTGCCATAATCACTAGCATAAATTTTGTACGAAAAAAACATCCAGTCAAAATTATTGATAGAATCTAAATTCCGTCGAAACTTTTAACAAAAATAATTCCGTCCAAAATTTTGACGAAACACATTTCCATCGAAAAGTTTCGACATAAAACAATAACGTCAAATTTTTTTACGGAAAATATTTCCTTCAAAATTTTGACGAAAAATATTCCCATCAAAATTTGTGACTAAAAATATTTTTGTAAAAAATTTTGATGGAAATTTTTTTTTTGTCAAAATTTTTTACAGAATCTAAATTTTGCCAAAATATTTCACAAAAAACATATTCATCGAAATTTTTGACGAAAAATATTTCCATCAAAATTTTAAACGAAATACATTTCTATCGAGAATTGTTGTCGAAAAATTTTTTCACCAAAATTCTTAATAGAATTTAAATTTCGCCAAAAGTTTTCGACGAAAATATTTTCGCTAAACTTTTTGGCAAAAAAAATTTCTGTCAAATTTTTTTACGAAACACATTTCCATCAAAAAATTTCGACGAAAAATATTTTCGTCAAGTTTTTTGATAAAAAACATTTCCATCAAAATTTTCAACGGAACGCATTTCTGTCCAAAAATTTCGATAGGAAATATTTCTGTAAAAAATTTTAACGAAAAATATTTCGACAAAAAATTTTGACGGAAAAAATATTCTATCAAAATTCTTTACGGAATCTAAATTTCGTTGAAAGTTTCGAATGAAACATTTCCCTCAAAATTTCTAACAAAACCATTTCTGTCGAAATTTTCGTCAGAACACATTTCCATCAAAATTTTGTACAGAAAACGTTCCGTCAAAATTTTTGACTGAATTCTTTTTTTGTTTCAAACATTTGATGGAAACTAAATTTCGTCGAAAATTTTGATAGAAAATTTATTTTTGTAAAAATTTTTATGGGTTGAAAAATTCCGTCGCTTTTCGACAAAAAGTATTCCGACGAAAAAAATAATTTTGTGATGAAATTTTCATCGTTTGCAATGTAGAAATTTCATCGAAAATATGATCTTTTTGGTGTTGTGAAAAGTACATACATAGTTTTGTTAGAAATTTTAAATTTAATTTAATTTGTAAAATATAATAATTATATTAATTTTAAAAAAGGGTAAAATGGTAAAAATATCTCATTAACCCTCAATTTTCCTCATTTACCATTTTTTTAACTCCCAAACAAGGGAAGAGAATACCCTTCAATTTTCTTACTTTCCTTCCCTCCCCCTTGGATCCCCTTCCTTCCCCTCCCCTCCAAACTCCCAAACAAATCCTTAAATGATGTAAATTGTGTACTTTTAGTTTTTTATTCTATGTACTCTCGGTAGTACATAGTTATAATATGAAAAATTGCTTATTTTTTTTCACTTTTCACGTCAGATGATGTGACTGAGGAGAGAGAAAAAAAGTAACTTTTCATATTATAATTATGTACTACCGGGAGTACATAGAGTAAAAAAACTACATTCTTTTAAAGCACAAATAGTTTTCCCTTATATAAATTTGTGGATGAGATATTTGAATATGGAAGGTGTCATACTTTTCATTTTTTAGAAGCTTTCAATTTTTTTTTTTGAAAGTTACAAGGAAAATCAGAAAAACAACAGTAGAAAAGTAAACTAATAATTAGTCAAACTGGGAGTAGAGACTCCCATCAAATCCCCATTCACCAAGGAAGCACACTCCGTTGGGGGATTGTAAAAAAGAGAGTATCCCATGCATGGATATCATAATGGGAAGCCAACCAATTAGATACCCCATTCCCTTCCTTGTGAATGTGGGAAACTTTGACATACTAATCCCTCTTGATCATATTAAGAATTCTATTCACCATGGGAAACATAGGGTGGTTTGAGCCACACTCTGAAGAGATTAGATTGACAGCAACCAGGGAATCAACTTCCAACCAAAGCTTCCGAAAGTTCCTATCCCAGGCCCGCTCCAGACCCACCAAAATACCCCAAAGCTTGGCCAACAGAGGAGTACTTGTGCCCAAAAACTTGTTGAAGCCTAAAATCCACCTCCCATCTGCACCTCTGAAGACACCATTACAGCTAATTTTGCCATCCGTTAAAGCACAAGCCCCATCAGTATTCAGTTTAATCCAACAACCATCAGGAAATTTCCCTATTATAGAAATTTCCTTCTTAGGTCTGGGAATCAGCCCAACAGTTTGAAGGAGATGATCAATGTTAGAACCTGCACCGCTAAATAATTAAGTAAATAACATTACTGATGCTAGAGCATGGATTTAATATAGATTATGCATAATTATAGAAATATAAGTATCTGGGAGGTTGAATAATGCTTAAATCATTTTTCTGATGAAAAGCGAAGATACAGGTTCTGCTTCACGGTATAAATGTGTAAGGGTAAAGTATTCTAAAAAATTATAATAAAAATATTAATATTCCTAGAAAAATATCTAGGTCAAGGATATCAAGTTTGGGGTAAAAATAATGAGTAGTGGTGTCAGAACTGATATCGACTATATATAAAATGTGTATCGATGAAGTGTCTCGAAAAATTAATGTAAAAATATTATAATTCCTAGAAAAAGATCTAGGTTAAAAATATAAAGTTTGGAAGAAAAATAATTAGTAGAACTATTAGAACTAATATTGTTAGTTTAAGCGGGTGCACTTACAAATAGGAAAGAGGGCAAAAAACCCTAGACTTTCTAATACCCAGATTTCCACTCTTCCAAAACTCTTCATCGCTGCCCACTCAAGAACTCCATGGAAGTCCATCCCTTTTTCATGAAACTTGACCAAGAAACATGCTTTCTTCATCCATCTTCCATGGTACAACATTGAATCATTGAAAGCTTGTGTTTTGTAAGAGAAAGATGCATTCTTTGAGCCTTGAGACTGCTATTTTTTGAGAGTGAGGGACTGCCATAGTTGTGAGTTTGTGTTTGAGTCATTTAGACACACAATGGTGTACCAAGGTGTCATCTTTATGGAGAAAGAACCTAGCTTTGGGAGTTGAATTTCGTGCACATTCTTTTATGTAGTTGGTGTGGTCAAAAGTCATCCAAGCATACCTCTTTCTCTGATTTTAGAAGCCCTAAGGTAAACTCATACCATTTCCTTTGTAAATTAATGAAAATACCTTGTTTTGAGTAATGAAAAAGAGAAACTTTAATGATTTGTGTTAGGGGTTGTTAATCTAAGTGTAATAAAGTTAATTGAACTTCTGTAAATGGGTATATCAAAGTTAGAACATTTGGCATGCGATTGAAGCACCTCCAAAATAGAAAAAATGCAGTTTTTCTGCATTCTATCGCTGATGAATTGATTTCCCGAAACTGGGAATCGATTCCCGCTTGGAAAAAAAGACAGCAATACACTAGTTTAGTAAAATCGCGATATCTCGAGTTGCAGAGCTCCAAATTGAGTGAGATTTGGACCTATGTGAAGCTAACACATAGGGATACAATTCTACAAAATTTCAGATCCGTTAGACAAGTGATTGATTGCGGCTTGAGTTTTAAGTTGCTGCCTTGCTGTAGGAAATTATGTTACCTTACGAAACACTTAACCGGAGTTATACAACTCTGATTGAGACATAAAATATGTCGTTGAAAATGTTGTTATCTCTAGTTTAACATAGTAAAAGTTTAGAAGTTTTGGGAAAGAGTTGTAATTCTTGTTTTAAAAATAGTAAAGACGATTTATGCTTGGGGGCTTTGGAAGAAGCTTGCAGTCACCAAACTGTCCAATTGCTATAAAATACGAGATTCTAATTGTTAATAATATTCTTGGTATAAAATAGATTGTAATTGTCGGATTGTGTGACTATTGGTGTATCGGTGTACATCGAGCCTTTGGATAAGGATTTTGGCATTTCAGGTAAGCTTTCGTGTCGTCGGTTTAACCCATTGATGGTTCCACCATACCTCATGGGGGGATGGTTTATATGCATAATGTTTTGTCTGGAAAATATCTGGACATGTCTAGTCTACTTGTTGTAGTTTCATGACTTGATATATTATTTATATTATGAGATTATTCAGTTTAGTTATTTATTACAATTTATATACAGACAATTTTTTAAAAAGATTCACTGAGTTAATATGATAAGTTTCATAATTGAAAATTTGTAGCTTTCGTATTTGTTAAGCTGCACTTATTACCATTTATATGTTTAATACACCGGGTGCACACGGGGTGTTACATTTTATGGTATCAAAGCACTTTATATGGGAAAAAGCTTGTATGTACTGCAATAACCTAAGATGCCTTGTTAGTCTAGGTTGTCTTGTGTGTTTTAGGATGTGTTGTGAGTTACTCTTAGAACTTACCATGATGATACATGTGTGACCACTTGGTTTGGGTTTGATCAACTCATGTCTTTGTGTAACATATGAGAGTTATGGTTAACCGTAAGAGTGCTCGAGAGACATCCAATGGGCATTCATATCCCAATGTAGCTGCATTGGCTGAGACGCAGGTTGCTATGCAAG